AAAAAAAAAAAGATTGAAGTACATACTTTGAAAATGATTTTTTTTTTTTTCAACAATTAGAGGTACAAAATATCAAGTTACACAAACTGCTGATATTTGACAGAGGGTAAAAGGCCACATAATAGGTAAGAAAGTCCACATGATTATTAATTGGTTCCATTTTTTTTTTTTTTTTTTTTCCCTCTCACAAGGAAAAGATTTTTTCACTTATTTTTCACTTTTTCCATCAAAAAAACAAATTTTTAAGATCCATTTATTTTCACATAAATCATCTTGTTGGATTAATTACCAAAAATACCCCTAGCTTTGCTATTAAATACTACCTCCTGTTCATTATAAATGTCGTTTTGACTTTTGTGATTCATCCATTTTATTATGTATCTAGACATTAATATATCTAGATACATAACAAAATGGATGAATCAAAAAAGTCAAAACGACATTTATAATGAATAGGAGGGAGTATTATCTATTTTGTTTGAAAAATGTTGCCTCCTCAAAAAAATTTCAACAGTCATTTTTTTTTTTACTAATACTTTATTCTGAAAGTAAAAAAATATAATCTTTTGTATTAGATTAATGTTTATTAATATTATTATTTATGATGTGGAGCTATGTCATTTATATGTTATTGTGTAGTAAATTGTCATTGTTATTATTTACTTTCTTTTATTTATTATTATTAATAATAATTTTTGTGATGACCTATCTATCTTCGTACAGTTCTCACAAATTCAATTTACTTATTTTTTTATATTTTAGTTTGCAATATATTTTATTTATTCATATATCTATAGTTTGAAAGAAAAAAAAAAAAGTTGATACTATATTTTGGCAATTTTGTCTCGATTGGTTTATTGATAGCACGCGCACACCACCAAACAAATTGCATGGTGGTTTGATAGCTCCACTATACTATAGGCTTTAGCTGTCATCTTCTAATGTTCAATATTTATAAGATAATAAAATTTATGATTTTTCTAATAAAAAAAAATGATCAAGAATATTGCAAATGTACTAGTGTAATTCATTAGTCAAAGTCAACCATTTTCAAAATTACATTACAATTGTTCACGGCAATTAGTAGGAACTAGGAAGCAATAATTTGTATTTATCGAAAATATTATCTGCAATGTAAAATATGGAATCGTGTTCGCATAAACAAACAAATAGAACTAAAAACACACACTTCACTGAAACGCAAATCTACAATACAAATTAAATGAGTCATTCGATAAATGATTAAACTGCAAATACACACTTGACTAACAAAATACGAATCGCATTCAAAATTAAATTGTTCGTAACACAAAGCCGAACTTCTACATTACACCCCCAACATATTGTATTTTACAATACAAAATTTATTATAAAAAAAATTATTATATCTTTTTTTTAGATGATTCATATTTTTAAATAATTAGAAAACCTTTATAGTGGGGCCCACAAAGTATTTTTGGCCTTTAGTGTGTTTGGGTCAACAACTATGGGAACAGAGATTGGCTTGTTGTGCAATTTTTGGGGGGTCAATTTTTTAACAAGTGGAGAAAAAAGAGCTTCACAAAAATGTCCATTTTATACCACAAAAACAAATGGGGTATCTGTTTTTTCCCACAGGTTGACTGACTCACTGTTTCTCATTTGTCTTTTATTGAAGTTTCATCCACTTTTCTTTTTTTTTTATTAAATAAAATTATTGTTTTATCAATTAAGTTGAAATAAAAATATATATACATGTGCATGCTATAATTTTCCTATTATTTATGAAAAAGCAACTCAATTGTAAAAGTTATAAATCCTACAACTTTCTTGTACCATGTACCATGTAAAATCCAATAGTACTACCGTGTACCTGGCACACCTAGCTAAGTGTGTCAGGGCACATTTTGCACGCGCTCCTCACCCCCAAAACTAGAAAATTATGTAATGTAGTGCACATTCCTATTTTTCTTTTTTTTTTTAATTGAAAAATGAGACATGTTACATAAATTAAAATATCATTAATTATTTATATTAGAAAAAAAATAAAATAAAAATACTAAAATTCATAATTTTTCATTATCTATAAATAGAGACCACATTTGATAGGTTTTTGAACACAACTAATTTTTCGTTTTTTCGTAATTATTTTATTATACTGACATATAATGAACATGTTACATAATAAGACGAATATGTTTTCAAATAAGATGAACATGTTACAGATTGCAGATTGAAAATAATACATATTCATCTTATTTTATAACATGTTCATCTTATTCTATAACATGTTCATTTTGTTATGTAACATGTTCATCTTGTTCTATAACATGTTTATTTTATTGTGTATGTAACATGTTCATCTTATTCTATAACATGTTCATTTTATTATGTAACATGTTCATCTTATTCTATAACATGTTCATTTTATTATATGTAACATGTTCAGCTTATTCTATAACATGTTCATTTTATTATGTAACATGTTCATTTTATTCTATAACATGTTCATTTTATTATGTAACATGTTCATCTTATTTTAGAATATGTTCATCTAAATTTCATCTGTGAAAATGTAACATTTTCATCTTATTCTATGACATGTTCAACTTACTCTATAACATGTTCATTTTACTATGTAACATATTCATCTAATTATAGATTTGTGCCATAATTTTCCAATATGATAAATTAATTGTGTTCCAAAAAATATCAAACGTGGTCTCTATTTATAGAGAATGAAAAATTACGAATTTTGGTATTTTTATTTTTATTTTTTGATACAAAATATGAATGATAATTTAATTTATATAATATGATAAATGAAATTCATTACCCAATAAAAATAAAACACATGTCCCATTTAAAAAAAAAACACTTACCTCCTTACTTCTCACGCACCTTTAGAGGGGATGTAATTCACATAAGGCTCTGACACATCTAGCAAGGTGTGCTAAGTATTTGATGAGACATCATTATGACATTATTATTTTTTTCATCAAATCTTTTATAAAAGAACAATTAAAAGATTAATTAATATATTTGAACCACTCTTTGATTCTGATTATCAAAAGTCATTTGGTCTAACATTACTTTATTAAATAAATTAATATATTATAGTTCAAAATGGCCATGAGTACATTTTTGGGTTCCTAGTAAGTGTTACCTCACCAAACTATAATTCTCAAGTACAGATGGGCTTGAATACTTGAATTAATAGTGACCTTTATTTTTTTTTTTGTTTTTTTTTAAAAAAAATCGAGTACAATAGCACAAATCTAGATGCCCGTATATCGACAAATTCGATCGATCCTACAAGTTCTGATCGGGCATTTTAATGTTGCGTCACACAAACTCTTACAAACATTTATTCGACAAATTCTTGAACATGTTATAGAATAAGTTGAACATGTTACATATAATAAAATGAACATGTTATAGAATAAGATGAACATGTTACATAATAAAATGAACATGTTATAGAATAAGTTGAACATGTTACATACATAATAAAATAAACATGTTATAGAACAAGATGAACATGTTACATAATAAAATGAACATGTTATAGAATAAGATGAACATGTTATAAAATAAGATGAATAAATCAAAAGAGAGTACAACTTCCATCAAGAAAACCAAAACTAACGTCAAAACCCGACTCTATAAAGAAGATTAAAACTCCAAGGAGACTGGATGTCAGACGCCGCTAAATTTAACAACACAAAACAAAAATAAATGAAAAACAACACACTTAATACACAAATAGAATAAAATCTCCCCTACACGACCACCTAAACTTACAACCGATTCTAAAACCATAACTAAGAAATCCAACAGAGCAACACAAGCAGACTCCAAACCCAAGAACTGCAATCACTAAAACCGCCTAGTCAGATTTCGAACCAAATCTAAACTCTGCTGGACGTCGGTACAAGGAAAAAGATGAG